AGGAAATGATATGAGCGTAGAACTAGGTGAGTGATGTTTGTTAAACATACGTAGTTAAGTAATACCCATCTTTATAGTAGTGGCATCATCTCCACCAATGAAACAATGGACAATTGATAAGGTAGCCGCTGAGTTGCGCAAATTGCTAGATGAAGCAGTTGTGGCGAAATTTATCGAGCAGGTAGGGTATAGCATGTGTTTTTCTATGTCTGTGAGGTTCTACATGTAAATTTTGGTCTTTTTAGCAAATCGACGGTCGTTCATTAGGCTTGTTGACAACAGAGCTTTTGATGAGCCACATGGGTTTGGCTCTGGGTCCCGCTCTCAAGGTGAGTTTGTCTGGCGCTCTATACTCGGCGATGCTAGATCTATACACTCTGTCTCATTTGGAGTGAGCCGGATTTGAGCAGCTCGGTCCCGCGCTCCGACTCGCTTGGACTTGCACCGCGTTGGGATCTTTCTCTCTGACCATTTTTCCACGATCCATCGATGATTGGAGTTCACCGCGAGCCTTTTTTATGCTCTTACGTGGGATTGTTAGAGGAAACGTTCGCGAGCGCGGCGCAGGGTTCACGCAAGGCGGATGCGCGTGACCCGAGCAGTTTGAAGTCAGGCTTTCTTTGAATGAATAAAGGGAGGCTGCTCCTTTTAAGTAATCTAATGACCATCTTCCAGGTGATCGATTTTGTGAGTTCGATCAAGAAAGCGCAGGACCATCAGCGTTCAGCCGCCGACCAAAAATGCACTAAAGCTGAGACTGCTTAGTCCTCTGGGCATGGGCAGTATTTATCAATCTTCCGATTTTATGGTCGCTGTTTTGCTATCATAAGGAGCGTCCAGCACCCGATCGGGCGTTTTCGTGACTGTAAAACAGTGCCGGATCAGGGAGATTACTGCCTCAGGCTTTTAGCCACAAAAGTGGCAGTAGCTGCCTGTATACATATGGTTACCCTTCTAATGCTTCATGACGAAGGCGGCTGCCCAAATAGGTTGAAAGCATGCAAGGCTGACGCGCACG